TATCAAAAAAGTACTCCAGAGTGTTGTTCAGCATGGGGGTGAGTAGAAAATGAAGGCTAATCATGTTTTGGGTGTACTATTCCTTTAAGGTTTTACATTATAATGAATTTAAATTCACTGTTATTAAAATAAAAAGTTATGCTTTTAAACAATAAAGGAAAGTCGCGGAACATCCAGGTTGATTCAACCGCTGCTCTTTAGGCTGAGGAGAAAAACACAGTTTTAGCATCAATCATTTATTATTTATTCATTTTTTTTTCATTTATTCTCCCTTTATCTACATTTCTGTTGAACTTTAAATTCTATTCCGCAGTTTTTCCTTTTGCAGTTTCTGTTGGTTTACTGATATCAAGTTAGGGTTGTTTACAAAATGTGACAAAAAATCTGCATAAATGAAACATTAACCAACTTCGATCATATTGCCGGTAAGGATCAATAAGTTGCATCATGTTTCACTTGTTTACACAAGATCTTTGCACCCAGAAACCCAAAGCTCAGATCAGGGTGTGAATAAATGCTTGAAGGTTTCAGAGCTTCAGCTCATGGTCTGCATCAGATCAGGTCTCCAAGTCCTACAGAGAAGATGAGGTCCAGTCTGTTGTTCCTGGTGGCGGTTCTGCTGTGTGGTCTGGTCAGCGCTCAACAGGACGGGCTGCCTGAGAGGGTCCAGAAACTGGAGAGCGACAACGACGTGTGGGGTTGGTCTCCCTGGTTCTTGATCTGGTTCTGTTCGACTCACAGGTGAATGTTGCTGCAGAGTTTATCTGATAAAACCTGCTGACTTCCTGCAGTTAAATCTCGAGTGGCGTTTGCCGCTGCGCTGTTCGACACCGACACCTGGACCAGCATGAACGAATCTACAGCTGATAGAACTCTGGAGTTCAAGAAGGTCGTCACAAACATCGGCAACGGATACGACCCGCAGACAGGTATGAACCAGCAGCCCGTTAACAGGGATTAGAGGTGTCCAAGTTATTAATGTTATTACTCAAGTAGAAGTATAAATCCTATAGTTTAAAACGGGGGCTTCCCATTAGGCAATAATAGGGCCAAAGTTCCTGGGGGCCCCATAAAACTCTGTTTACATGTATGGTTAAAACAACCTTTCCTTATTTGTGCTCATTAATTATGTTTTTTTTTTTTTTACCATGCTGTCTTTCAAGTTAACTTTACATTAATGTTCTAAGTATCCTAAAGGTTCCGATCAGGTCATGTTGTAGCCCAGTCAAGCACAGCTGTGCTTAAAGCCAATACCAGTAACATTTTGTAGAGCAAGAACCTAATTATATAAATAAATATCCTCTAAAACAATTTTTATTATTTTACATTTTTTCCTTCCACTTAACTTTCTAATAATATTCAATCAGAGGTTTAAAAAGTAATAATGTTTATTACTCCACTATGAGTTCTGCTATTTAAAAACACTTTAGTAGAAGTTAGAGGATTAACTTCAGTTTTTTACTCTAGTAGAAGTGTAAAAGTACAATTTTTTAAAACTACTTAAAGTATAAATTAAAAGTAAGTAATGCAGGAAAAAAGCCTTACTGCTCTACCCTATCAAAGGAACATTTCTCTATAATTCTCTATAACTTCCATAGACTTCATTTTTTTTATAACTAATGTTAACCAAGTCAAATTTAACTTTGTATCACTTTGAAAGAAAATTTATTTTGGTATTTAGTGAACAACAAGTTGGGGCAGCACCGAGTCCAAACACAAAGAAATGAATTGTCTGGATGAAACTAATTAGTTTCAAGTTTAGTTTTTTTTTTTTTTACTTTTTTAAAATACCAAAAGGCATAATGAAAATGAGCTTAAATGAAACAAAACTAAGTCTCATTGACTCTTCAGCAATCCCTCACACTAAGCATGCTTGTAGCGACAGTGGAGAGGAAAAACTCCCTTTGAACAGGAAGAAACCTCCNAAAAATGCACTTATTTTAAGAAGAAATTACTTATTTAAAATTCAAATTTGTTTGCAGTGTAACGGAGAATCTGTGGAAGAAACTGAAAAATGCTGTTCAAAAAATGCTCTCCATCCAACCTCACTGAGCTCCTGCTGTTTGCAGGAAGAAAAAAATAAAAAATAAGACATAAACTCAGTGGCGGCTGTTTGAGTTTTCTCCTCAATTAAAAATAAAAAAAATAGTCATTTCTCAAATTAAAGAAAGCTTCCCGGAGAGGTGAAACGTCTTCAAATCTTGGAGACAGTGGAATTTTTTTGAACTTTTAGGTAATGACTATGACCTGGATGACTGAGCATCTTCATCAACATAAAAATAGACATATACAACAAACTAATCAAACATATACTAAGTTATCACACCAGTATATTTTTATAAATTCCAAAAAAGTTATAAAATCACTTAATAAAAACAAAGCATAATTTCATATACAGGTTTATTTTGTACATAAATCTATAAAATCTATGTTTTACAAGGTCGATTATTGTGTCACAAACCTAAAAATAATAATATACCAGTTTAACAAAGGAGAAGCAATTAGTCAGCTTTATATTTCTTAAAATATATATGAAAACGATTTATTTTCTGAGAATGTGTTAATTTAAGAACAATTTGCAAACAAACATCTAGAAAAACTATATTCCAGAGCTCTGCTATCCTTCTGTATTGCAGAGGAGCTGCTGCTCATGTTTGACTTTTAACGGGTCAAAGGGCAAAGATTTTTGTGCCCTAGAGTGAAAAATACGTCACCAATCCGACGAAAAAAGAAATAACGCGTTACTAGTAATTAAAGATTAAATATTTATCTTGCACATCTAAAATATATATATAATAATAGATTTTCAAATATTTAAAAATGTAATTTAAACAAAATTATAAAATATATATATATATATTTT